ATGATCTTAAGTGTATTTGTAACCACTTAGTCTTAAGTGTATTTGGAACCACTTAGTCCTGTTGCTTAATGGTCTTAATTGATATTTGGAACCACTTACTGTCATTTTGTGTTATGGTTATGGATGTCATTTTGGACTGCTGTCATTTTGTGTAATGGATAAGGATATCATTTTGTAATGTGTTTTGAACAAGTTTATTTGTTAATGACAATTATGTGTTGAACAATTATGTGTTATGACAATTATGTGGAATGGTAAAAAAAATTGTTGAACAATTGAAGAAAGTTACACTGATATATTTCACTGCTAAATGGCACAAGATTCAACTGATACAAACCAAAGCACTTCACTACAACATTTCAACTGACACAAATAAAACATTTCACTTTTAAATTCCCCTAATTTGGAAACTGATACAAACTTAAGCATTTCAAATAATCATGATAAAAACAAGAATTGCTAATACTACAATAACAAACATCACCCAACATTTTTTTCCACTTCAAAATCTTATTCATCTCATTTTGAAGTTGATTCATCTCCTTCCTTAATTATTCATTTGTCAACCTAAATTTTTCAAACTCCATTGATGCATCATCCAATTTCTTTGCTAACTTTTCCAACCTAGACATTATAATTTTCCCTTTCTCATCTTGATCTTCCTCTTAGAACCATTCAAAATACGCACACCCAAGTTGCATTGTTCCCTGTAATTTACAATGGATTATTCAAAGGATTATCAACACACAATGGGTTATTCAAAATGTTATCAACATACAAACTAATTTTACAGAGGACAGACATACCTTCAAATGAGAACAACCCCAAAAAAAAATTTCCATAGCTCTTTGCCGTTGTCAACCTACAAAGAATAGTCGTGTCTCCACAATGACAACTCGGTTTCCATGGAAGATTCGAGCTCGTGAACACGTTAGAGTTCAGACTTTCATGGCTTTTCTATTTCATGGAGGACGAATCATAACCTGATTTCATGGAGGATCAACCTTAGTCTTTAACTTTTGGGAAACAAAATCAATTTTACAAAATAAAAACCATAGCGAAAGAAACTGAAGAAGAATGCAGTTGAACGCATGAAAATAAAGAAGAACAACCATATCATCTGCCACATCGTCATTCACAAACATCCGTTTGGAGGAAGCAGATGGAAAGGACTCGCGTGCTCCGTTTTTAATACTTAAGGGAACAATTTGAACATTTAAAAAATTAAGGGACCAAAATGGACCCCGAGGTAAAGTTAAGGGACGAAAAATGATATTTTGTCTTGATACTCATTTTAGTGAATTTTTTGAATTTAGATGAGATTGTTAATTTTTTTTTTATAAAAAAAATAGTTGTAATTGGAAAATATATAGTTTATTAATTGGTGTATTTAGTTTTAAAGTTAGTAATGTTTACATGTTTGTGACAACTTTTTTATAGCAGTTTTGTTCTCACATAATACCTCATTGTGTAGTTAGTGGGAATTCTAATTTCATCAAGCATCTGCTTTATCCAAATTCCTTCACAAATACTTTGTGCCATGGCTTTGAATTTAACTTTTGCACTACTCCTAGCCACCACATATTGCTTATTGCTACTCCAAGTTATCATATTACCCCCATACAAATGTACACTAACTTGTAGTAGATTTTCTATCAAATAAACACCCTGCCTAATCAGAGTTAGTATAGACTTCAATGTCTCTGTTTGAATTCTTCTAAAGATAAAGTTCTTAACCTAGTGTGCCTTTAAGGTATTGAAGAATTCTATTAATTGTTATCATGTGAGTCTTAGTTGGGTTTAACATGTACTGACTAGCCATACTTATAGCAAAACTAATGTCTGGCTTGGTTTGAGTAAGATAAATTAGTTTCCTAACTAGACGTTGATATCTATCTTTATTTGTTGTTGAATCTCCTCTTCGCTTCTTTTTATTGGTTAAATGGGAGTCTTGACAGCTTTACATCCAAGCATTCCAGTTTATTGAAGTAAGTCTAGAGTGTACTTTTTTTTAGAAGCATAAATTCCATCCTTTGTCCGAGAAATTTACATCCCTATAAAGTACTTGATCCGACCAAAATCCTTGAATTCAAATTCCTTGGCTAACAAACTCTTCAACAATGTTATTTTATCA